GATTCTTATACATGGGCATCTCCTTCCGTATCCTGTAGCGCAACAAACTCGAGAGCACCGCTCCAGGAGCGTGCCCGCGCCGAGCAGAAAGATCGTGAGCTCTGGAAGCAGGCCCGCCACCAAGGCAGAACCTGTCTCCTGACCGGCGACCGACTCCGGAGCTAAGAGTATAGTGAACTACTCAGCGCTCCCCGCCCCGCGCCTGGTTTTTTCGCCCCCCGCCTCCTGCCTTCCTCCCTGGGGAGCGCCCGCCACCCAGACCCGCCGTGCAGTTGCTGGGCATAAGCCTTGCTTCGGCTCGGATGTGCGCTGGTCGCCAGTGTGGACGCCCGTTCAGTCTCTCCCCACGGGCTGCGGCCTGATCTTCTCCCTTGCTCTATCGTGTCCTTCCTGGGGGAAAAAATTCTATCCTGTCCAACTTGCAGCTATTGCCTCCTCGGGACCAAAAAGAGACCCGACAGTTCCATGCCACACCGCAGGGATTGGAGCATTCTGGCGGGCCAGCCCTGGAGGCACCCGAGGCAGTGGAGGAGACCTCGAGGACGGCTCCAGGACGGGCTCCACGGGGCCAGCGGGAGAAAGGGAAAGGGGGGGGGGAGGAGGGTGAGCCAGGTGAGTCAAGGGAAGTCTCCTCCTCCTCCTCCTCCTCCTCCTCCGCCTCCTCCTCCTCATTGGCGTTTTTCGCTGGAGGCTACCATGGGACAGAACCTCGCATTATGTCTGGAGGTGAGGGGGAGGCTGAAGTCCCAGCGCTGCCGTGGGGAATCCATAGTATCGTTGTGCTGGCGGGCATGTGGGTGTGGCGCTGGCGCCCGTGTCCTCTAGCTGGTTTCCAGAGGGCCCCATGCAGCAGTGGCGGCTCCAGGCTGCGTGGGCCGCCGCTTTTCTCGGCCCCCGGCTTGGGGCTGTATGGGCCGAGTGCATGCGAGTTCACGCAGGCTCTCTGGGCGCCCTCCTCGGAGGTGGGCCGAGCGCTCCGCGCTTTGCCAGCTCGGGTGTTCTGCGCCGGGCGTTGAGCAAATTCGACCTCGTCTAAGCGTTCGTCGGCGCGCATCCAACACCATCCGCGCTAGCCAGCGCCCCGAGAGAGCCTGCACCCAGACGGCAACCGCCAGACTGACGAACGGGCCCACCACGGCTCCGCAGGCGGGGGCGACATGTACGCTGCCGCCGCCCATCGCCAAGTCAGCCGTGATGGGGCGCCTCGCGGTGGGGGAATGCGTCGCGGCGCAGGCGGCCTTGCGGAAAGGGGGCGGTCCTGCTCGACGCCATGCCATGCCACCGACGGTGTTGCCGCACATGCCCATGGGCGTCCGAGGAACACCCGTATGTTTTCAGCGGTCGCGAGCGCGGTGCAGGGCGCCAGTCGTGGTGGCCAGCTGCAGCAACATGCCGAGCCTGCACGCCGCCCGCAGCCTCATTCGACGTCCAGGCTACGGCGCGACCTCCCCAGCGCGCCGCGCAGCGGGGGCACTTGCTGGGTAATCAATGAGTTGGGCCGCCGCGTGGGTAGCGAGCATCGCTTGGCCATCGTTGAAAGTTTGACGAGCCTCGTCGAAGGAGCCGCGGAGCAGCTGGACGGCCTCCTGCACTGCGGCCACCTTTTCGAGGATATGCACGGTGTGCACGCGCATCGTCGGGTCCGCGCAGGAACACCACGGCGCGGAAGACACATTCCAAGAGGCCTCCCCGTGGCCTTGCAGCCGCGGTGCCGAGTCCAGCCACAGCATCAGTGGCAGCAGCTTGAGGGGAAATCCCACTGCGGGCGCGGTCCGCGAGGGCCGCCCAGTCCAGCGTCTTGTGCCTTCGTGAGGCCCACCAGGGCCTGGGCGGAGGTAGGTCCTCCCTCGTGGCCCTCTGGGCGTGGGCGACCCGGCCTCCAGACGCAAATGCCGCAGGCATGGCCACCCATGCCTTGCATTGGAAGGAGGATGCTGAAGAAGATCAGGGGGAGAAGGCGGAGAAGGGAAGAGGAGGAACGTGCGGAGGGGGGGGAGGCGCTGGGGCCTTGTCCGCATCCAACCAGGGGCCGCCTGGCGCATGGCTCTACCTCACTCTCCCGCCTGCGCATCTGTCCTCCTCGTGCCGTCGTGTCCTCTGCCGTCGCCGTGTCCCCGTCCTACCAGCCCCTCTTGGGATCACTCTTGGGTCGTCTCGGGGGTTTCGTGGACCGCCTTTTGAAGCCGTCTTTGACCGGCGTGGGGCTACCTGGGTCGCGCCAGCGCTCTCATGGACCATGCTGGCGCTTTGTTTGGGCCCCCCTGGGCCACAGATGGCCACAGGAGGAGCTCCGAGAAGGCCGCACCCAACTCGGATGAGCTCACACGGCGGTCGTCCGGGGCCCGGGGGGGTGGGCGTGTAAAACGCACAGTTTTGGACCCGGGGTGGTGGGATTTACGGGGGGGGGAACACGTCACACGCCTGGGGACCCATAAGGGGTCGGCGGATTTGCACACATGTCTGCAATTGCACGTGTCTGCATACTGTACAACATGTTCATCTGCGACTGGTGCTTGATGGCGGTCGCTGCTGGAGCCACACTTCTGGGTGGAAGCAGGCGCGGGAAGTGCCGAGGGCGGAGTCGAGAGAGCAGCGCCCCAGGAAGAAGGGCGTGCGCGACGAGCAGGCCGTTGCCTGTCTTCTCCGCCCGCGGTGCTTCTACCAGTGCAGCGGCTAGCACGGACGCGATGTGCTTCTTGTGGGAAATCGGGCGGTGCGTTCCAGGAAGGGCCCCGCTTTCGAGGGATCGAAAAGACGCCATCTCTTCCCCGCCGGAAGGCAGCGGGAACAAAACGGGGGCGATTCCGCAGGCGCAAGGCCAGCGGAAGCCAGCGAAGGTAAAACAAGCAAGTGTCCCAAAGAGATGTCATGTTGTTTAGGGTTCAGAGTTTCAGGAACTTGCAGAATGGTAGCAGCTTGACGCAGATGTGCAGTGATGCCCTCGCAGCTCTCAGCTCACAAGCAGGTCAGCTATGAGGTTGGCAAGTGTGTCTCATTGAGCAGATTCTCAGCGTCGGCGCCTTAGGTGTGGCGTTCCAAGGCGTCGATGGGGTTAGCAATTGCCATCCGCATCGATGCTTCCACTGCCATTCGATTCTTCAGCCTCGACGTCAATACCAAGCCACCCTCTGACTCCTGCTATCCATGTTGACACTTTGTGCCCCCGATTCTCCAGTGGTGTTGGTTCTCCGCGCTCGATTGGCACTACCTGAAATTGCGAGAGGGCGTCCTGCGGCCATGCCAACGTTTTGTTTCACCATGCACGCGAGTTTGATGTGGTGTGTTCGTGCCTTCGGGCTCGCACGGGTAGGTTTAAGCCGGGCGTGTCCCTCTACAGGAGGAAAATTCGGAAATAGTAAAAATAGTCAGGGACGGGTTTTTGGTACTTTTGAATATTATTGGAATATGTTTTGAGTATTTTTTGTTTTTCGTCCATCGGCCTGTAGAGGGACATGCCCGACCTAAGGGTAGGCAGTTGGTCTCGCGGTTTCGGTGCCTGCGTCGACGACGAACACGTGTTGGGCGTCTCTGTTTTCTGCCCGCCGGCGCGGCAGATCACTCTGGTGGGCCGGTCCGTGGCCTCCATGCACGACTTCAAGATTCAGCGGCGCTTCAACACTTGGACTGTGTCCGACGTGAACGACGGTCACAAAGTGGCGGAGGGGCGGGGCTGGAGGCAGGGGTGGGCGAGGTCGTCTGCCGGTTGCGCTGCAGAATCGGCGCGTCAATTTTGAAAAGTCTGCCTGCCAGCGAGCGCCCGACGGAAATGTCTGACTCCCTGGTGGCCCTAGGGGCCCACCGAAGCCGTGGGGCACCTCAGGACTGGACCCTCAGAAATCGACGAAGAAAGTGCCCCAAGACCTCGTAATTATGGCGGCTGTTATGGTCGCGTGTGTCGATTGTACGTCGGAATCCGAGCACTTGTCCGCCGCAGTGGGCACGAGGAGGAGAAGGAGGGGAGGAGAAGGATGGAGCAGCACGGAGAAGCAGGGAGGATGGATGATGCAAGCGAGAGGGGAGGAGTGACGAGGGAGGAGGCCGGAGGCAATCCAAGGGATCGCCCCACGGCTTCTGCGCGGGTTGAGATGCAGTGGTGCCGCGCTTTTCTTGCACTGCTGAGTGCCAGGGTGGGTCGTTAGGAGTCAAATAGTGACCAGGCCAAGACAGAGCCCATAAAGGCAAAGATCCACAATGCGCCGAGAGTGCAGTCAGTCAAGGGCCGAGCAATTTCAAGACGGCAGACAATGGCCAAGAGAGATGCAGGTCAGTGGCACATCTACCAGTGAGGCATCATTCCGCCGACGGACCGCGACCCCGTGAACGTGGTCGGGCATGGCGTGGTGTCGTTCGGTGTAGGGCAGGAGTCTTGGAGCGGCGAGGGCGCATCGAGGCATTG